TCGATTTCTCCTTGCTTATAGCAACTAAATTTAGTTGGATCGAATATTCGATGACAGTACATAATCTCGTGTTCCATTCAGCTGAATTAATTTATAGAAATCATGGTGTCGGTCTCGGTGAATTGAGTGAGGAGACACTCGAGAGTACGAATAAGGATGTGCGAAACTTTCGTGAGTTCTTGTCAAGAAAATGCGGACATTTGGACAACATGACCGATGTTTTTAACCCTTTGTTTCTACGTAGTGATTCAATGATTAATTATATTGTACAAAGTTCAGGTGGAAAACGTTCATCAAGCGAAAAAATCGTTCAGACGTGTGCCGATGAAGATGATAGTTTGTTTAGCAGCATGACAGTAGCGAGATGATTTTAATCTTTTTCACAGTTTTCTTTTTTTCGTGTCAGTTCGCTTGTCATACTTCTTTTCGTTAAAAACAGAAAATGAATCTCTTACACTATTTTCAAGTTTAGTGACTTGGCCTATAAAACCAAAGGCCAAGGGATGGTAGGCACTAACCAATCAAGCAAAGTTTCTCAAAGATCTTGGATCATGACACTGAGAAGGTTATTACTGAAAACCTATGAGCACTAACTCACGCCTTTTAGTTTTTTTATGAAATTAGGTTTTCCAGAAATCCGGGACTCCGGAAAACCTCACACAAGGATATGAAATTTTCTTGACAATATAAATACAATCTGCGCATCGCATAACATACAAAAAATTTTACTCGTTACTGTATAACATACTTAACTTACTCTTGGTAAACTCACAAAGAACAAGTTTTTTTTTTCTTTTCTCAAAAAAACGTTTTGAAAAGCGTTTTGTGAGGGTGAGGGTGGAATTATTTCACCCTCACCCTTGCCCTCACAAAAACCTTTTCAAAAAAGTTTTTATGAGAAAAGAAAAAAAAACTTGTTCTTTGTGACTTTACCAAGAGTAACAAAGTAACACACATGTGTTACTTTCTTACTAATAACAAGTAACACAGTTGTTAGTAGTTACTAGTAACAAAGTAAAAAATCTGCATCTGTTGTTACTAATTACTAGTAACAAGTAACAAATTTTTGTTACTTTATTGGTAAAGTAACACCGAGTAACAAGTAAAGAGCCACCCCTAGTATAAACAGGTACCGTTTTTATATATACGGAAGAAGTAGCAATACCTCAAAGAGCTTCTTCCTATAATTTTTATAGTTTGATAAACACAGATTTGTTTGATTGAGTGATAAACATAATTGCCACCTAAAGGATATCTAGACAATACCTACTGATAAAGGATTAAGACATCAATCAATATGCTCCATGTTAAAGTTAAGAAAAGAAATTCTTTTTTAAATTTTTTTCTTTTATGCAAATTTTAGGAACAAAGCTGAGTACAATTGTAAATGTCAGGGTTCGTAATAACAAAAAGCAGGGAGGGATAGGATTGTCAAATTTTTTATGAGAGATTTATAGCAAAAAGTAGGATAGATGCGGGATGTGTGAAACAAGGCTAGAAAACGTTTGACACAGTGTGAGTAGTTCACCATATTTTATGTACTTTTGTCATTTTTAGTACATATATAAAGTAAATGTCCTCGACAAAGACAGGGCGGCGCGCTAGGCTTTTAAGGAGGATGACTAAATTTCTATTGTGACCAGTGTAAAAATTGTTTACTAAATACATTATAGTAGAAGAACGGCCCCACATCCAGAAGGTTAGATTATTTGTTAGAATAATGGTTGTCATCTGTTTTTGTTATGTAGTTCTATCTACTTGTTGTCTCTGGTTTATATCCGCTTAAAGGACCATGTTTTGACTTCTAAGGTTTACGATACACATCTACTTTCTCTTTTTCTCGAAAAATGAAGGGCTGTATCTTGCGAAAGGTAGAAAACTAGATATTAAGTGGTTAATAAATTTAAGAAATCAAACTGGAGAGTCGTATGTATCAGTTTATTTATTTACAGCATTTAATATGTCAAATGAAGAGAAATCATCTTAATAATGAACTGTAAATCTATAAACAAAAGCATGATGGCTTATTTGCCTTTTTACTGAATAATAAAGCGAAGACAATTAAGAAAAAGGGAAAAATGAAAGAAAATTTTTAAAGTAGGACAGTTTTAATGAAAAGTCGGTGGACAATATAATCTTTCTTTTGTGGTCGAAATAAAAAGTCGACTTTTTTACTGTCAGATGGAATGAGTTCTAACTTTCTGTTATCATAACAATGACGTTCGACTAAGTTTCGATCTATGGAATTACTAGTGTTTTAAAAACGAAACAACACCGACACTTTAGTTATTATTATCTAAAAGAATAAACAATTTTACGAAAGGTTAGAGCACATTCCGTCTAGCAGTAAAGAAGTAGATGTATCGATCTAACTCTTACAGAATAGTAAGAGAAACTTGACAATCCTACCCCTCCCTGCTTTTTGTTTTTTGCTGTTACGAACCCTGACATTTACAATTGTACTCAGCTTTGTTCCTAAAATTTGCATGAAAGAAAAAATTTAAAAAAAGAATTTCTTTTCTTTTCTTAACTTTAACATGGAGCATATTGATTGATGTCTTAATCCTTTATCAGTAGGTATTGAATTGTGTATTGTGCCCCGTTACGGTAGGAGATATCATTATATGCTGGCACATGGCCTATGTCATCGTATTCTCCAGTCATTTCTTTTCCTTGCTTATTTTATTTATTTCTCTTCAACAATACAGACAAGGACGAGTGCTTCAGAGTCAAGATAAATTTTATCATCAAGATATCCCTTTTTCCTCCTTATTTCTTTTTTTTTACTTGCGTGTTGCGGTCTGTTCTACTGTTGAGAGTTTTCTTTCCCTATGATGTCAGATAGATTGACTGACTGTGCGATCGATCACACACAACAAATAGTCATTCTTTTAAACATTCGTAGTTTATTAGCATCTGCATTTTTTAATAATAAGGAAAATAAGAAAAATAACTTACTACTAAATACGATCAACTAAAGACTCTGATAGCTATTGAGAATTCGATTGTAGTAGCCATTGTAGAGTCATGGCTTGTTAAACATATCAATGATAATGATATATCTATACTAAACTATACATCATATCGTTTAGATAGGGAAAGGAGAAATGGTGGCTGTTTAATTTACTTTCGCAACGATGTGTTGGTTAAAAGGTTAAACGATTTTGATAGCTCTAATTTTGAAACTATGGTTTTCGTTGCTACCTTACCTGCTACTGGAAATATTTTAGTCATTTTATCATACAGAGCGGAATCCAATCTAGATGTTTTTGAAGCATACATGGAATTTTTATCTGACTCTATATCTACTATCATTTCTGTGCGCTCTCTTTCTGGTGTCCTTCTATTAGGAGATTTTAACGCGCATTGCTCAAAATGGTGCAATGAGAAATTGCCTTCTACAGCCGAAGGCAATAAATTTTTTTCTTTTGTACAAAATTTAGGATTTTTTAACATGTACATGAGCCAACTCGACTCACTTCAAGAACGTGTTTAGATTTAGTGATTACAAACAATCGTAATCTTGTTAAGGACACAAAAGTGTTACCTATTCTGTGTGAAATGTGCGATCATGCGCCAGTTCGAATTCAACTAGATGACGGGGTCCAACCTCCATCACATACTTTTCGTAAAATTTGGAACTATAGCGCTGTTAGTTGGGATCAGTATCGTTTTTTTCTTGTTAGGAAACTCAATGAATCTGCCCTTTCCTTTTTTAATGCAGATGTTGAAAATAAATGTTTAATTTTATTATTGGGTATACAGCAAACTGCGGAAATTTATATACCTCACAAAATAATAAAACTCACTCGCTTTTTCTTATCGTACAGTCAAGACCTATATGTTTTCGTGAAGAACAGTTAACCTATATATTGTACACACACGTTTACTAGTCTGGTCCAATTTAGCCATGTCGAAAAAAAATAATTCGGGTAGATTAACAGTGAAACCTGATTTTAATTTCGATCTCAATACGGAGTTATCTGATGTATTAAAGAACGATCAAGAAATACGTAGTGCATTGCAAGATTTGATCCAAAATCTCTCAAAAGATGTTGTGAAAAAGAACGATGGTCAGCAGACAACCATTAATCTTGATAATATTGATTCAAAGTTGCTCGTCAATATTCTCCAATCGGTTCTCAATGCTCGTCTGGAAAAACGTTTGTGTGATATTGAGGAAAGATTAAAACAAGTCGAACGCGATATAGCTGGTAATAACGAACGAGTGGACGAAATGGAAAGATATAATAGATCATTCAATCTTCGCTTTCTAAACGTGCCGCCTGCGAGAAACGAAGATCCTGTTCAGTTAGTGATAAATGTAGCGTATGAAATGGGAATTGAAATCGATTACGATTCAATTGAAACTGCTCATCGTATCCCGACTAAACAGAAGAAGTTAGGTGCTCTGAAATATCCACCAGTATTAATAGCAAGATTCATTCTCGACCGATTCGTCGTCAAGTTTTATCTTCAAAAGGAGCTTTGTCTCTACATGCACAACATACATTTTCAAAAGTGAAAATATCTGAAGATCTATCACGTCACAACCTTGAAATCTTCTCAACGAATCTTCTCAGCGCGAAATCTTTGAAATCTTCTCAGCGCAAGCAAAATTAGATAAAGGCGAACGTCACCGAATATATTCCAGTAACGGGCGTGTCTTCTATTATGCAGATGCTGGGAAACGTATTCATTTAAATTCCGTTAATAGTATCGATGCGATTTCCCATCAGACACAGATTCAGAATCCAGCTCAAATTGATTCAACGAGCTCACAACTTGGGTAAATAGAATATGACTCATTATTGACACTGTTAAGTTTTAAAATGCTCATAGTGTTTTTTCTTTCTTCCTTTCCTTTAGTTTCTTCCTTCTAGTTAAACTACTGTTGATAGTGTATAGGTTGACAATCTTTGCATCATTCGTCATAGGCATGACTACAAACACAAA